TATTGATAGATATATATATATATATATATAGATCAATATATTTTTTACATTCTTTTAATTTCGATATGATTTTCTCTGTAAACCCTTTGATTATTAGTGATCTGGGTACTATACCACTTACATATACATATGCAGAAAAGTAAAAATAATTGGCATGTGATTGGAATTTTGCTGTCTGTTTCTGTATGCAATTGGCACATGTCAATATATTAATATCGTGTTTCTTAAATTAGTTTCTACTTTGATATTTACTAAATAACTATTTCCCAAAGGATGTAAGATCACTAAATATAATTGGTGATTTTTCATATTACTTGTGTGATAACGACAATCCCTTTTATTGTTGTTGTATTTTAACAAATGCTACTTCTTTTTACTCTCATCTATGTTTTTGTTTTGAAAATTCACGATGCAGTTTATGATCTTTAGATCATAATAAATAAATGAATGATGCTTTCTTTTTATGCATCTACGAAATTTAGACACAAATGTCTGAAGTGATCTACACCAAAAAAAAATCACCATTTTTTAAATAATGAACGCTTTTGTGTGTGTTGGGTTCATAACATATTTATTAAAATATATATAATTTATTTTTGCAGAGGAAAAAAGGCTGATGAAGAAACATATTCGACATTCAAAGATTATAAGTTAACTCATTAATATTTTCTCCTATGCCTTTAGATACACAGTTTCTTTCTGCTGATGAGATTGTATGTATTTTTTGCTTACTCAGATATTATCTTTTGATCGATAGAGCTTCAGTGTAGGGATATATCTTGGGATCCGTATGAGTTACTTTCTGATAATGTTTTATGTGTGTATTTCATGAAAAATTTTTTGTACTTTGCCAAGCGAATAAATTCACTTTTTACCATTAGCATGAAGCGTTTCTTTGGCCTTTATGCGAAAAATGCAAACTGCCCATATATTATTTTAATTCTTTACCTTTTCTTAACCTAGTCAAAATGTTAGAGTGAACGCAATGATGGACAAAGATTTGGTAGAGCCCCTTCGTTTATCCAAACACAGACACTCCTCTTCCAGCGTTTCGTTTAGAAGGTTGTTTAAAACAAAAAACTGGAGCGGAGGTTCAGGGTAATCTGTCTTTTGATTTTGCCAAGTATAAGTCGAAGTGTAAAAAACACACGTTGCAATACTCTTAGGAGTACACAGGTAGACTATTTCTGAGGAAACTGTTGGGATACTTTTTTTTCTTTAATAAATGATCATTAAGTTCAAATCAACTAAAACTAGTGGATGCAATTGTTGATTAAGTATAATTATTGTCTTTAAGAAATTATAAACAACTGAAGTTTTGAAAAACATAGATGCCTTGAATAAAATTAAGGATATTTCATCGCAAAGTCATTTTACAGTCTCCTCCTTTATTTTTATCCTTCTCTAGACTTACGATTTTACTTATACGCGTATCTTGATTTAAAGGAAGGACAATAACAGCAGGAAAATTACCTAAAGGATGGGTTCATCTAACTCAAGATCAAGAAAAAACGATAATCCCCTATTAAGAAGTAGCAAATTTTATTACATGCAAAAGACTCCCCTTTTTAATGGCTTGCTTTATCGTGTTTTTGACCCAACAGAAGGCGCATGGCTTTTCATAAGTAATACCAAAGACTATGAATTTCGCATCAAATATTTATTTGGACCTAATAGTCTTGTTAACCCACTAGATGATACCACAATAGAAACGATGGACGATGGTTTTCAATGTGAGCTTTATCTTTACCCATTCGAAGCCAAACTTTTTGTTCAGGGAGTTATTGATGGATTTGAAAGCAAGCTGGAAGCCCTGCCTTTGTCGGAAGAATATTTCGCGATGCATCCAGAAATAGATGAAGTGAAATATAACTCTCGACTAGACCCACAAAATAGCAAATATTTTTGAAATTTATTTTTCGTTTTTAGCCCTTCTAAAATTTATGAATGCGCATCTACATAAATCTAGTTATTCTGAGGAAGGTGACCAACATATGTATCTATGTTATTTATATTAGCATGGTGTGATGACATTTTTTTCAGAAAACTAGGACTGAACTAAAATGTTTGTTTCATTTAACACTTGTGTGCTGACGTAATTTATTGTGGGTAAAACTTGTATTAGCTATTTCTCTAAACCCAAGTTGATTGTTTATTATTAAACCTTTTCTACTTTCTCATTGTTAACTGCTTTAGTTTAAACTTGTAATAAATATATAATGACAGTTGATATAAATATTTCCATTTATGTATATGCGATTGAGTAACCACATATCCTTGTCTAACTCAAGTTACGCATGCCTTTCATCGTATCTACTATTTTCTGTATTGCTTTCTGTTTGTTCACTAAAATATACATGTTTATCCCCCATTATTCATGTCCTTTCACAGGACTGAATCCCAACGGAATGTTTATAATTTCCATATTTTATATTTGGAATATCGAACACCCTGCTTCATTGTAAAATCAGCTATCTTTTTTTTAAAGGAAAGAATATTATTCTTTTATTTTTTGTTAGTGTGTAGTTGTTTGAATAGACTGATTAGCAATATTATGTGTCGTGAGCATCACATCAATTTTACTAAATAGTTAAGTTTTGTAAAAGAAAAGCGTGTAATAAATTTCACATGTGTCAATTTTTAACTTTTCTACTATTACCAATGTGTTTAAAAAGATAGGCCTTAATATTGGTTTTATATATTCATAGTCTTTTTTTTTTAATAAAGCATTTTGACAACTTAACATTTTGTCAATATATTATAAGTCATTTTTATAGAAGTTACCTACACCCCCCCAAAAAAGCAAAGGGGCAGTTCAAAATGGGTTCTTGTGCTTCTTTGGGGAACCCCGCTTCTAAATACAAGTTCAAATATGGCAGGCCAACTATGTATGGCCACAGCATCTATCCCATGTTTAACGGTTTACTCTATCGTATTATCGACAAAAATCTTAAGCAGTGGGCGTTCTACAATGATACCAGAGATTTAATAATCCATGTTGGCATCCTATTTGACTACGACTCTCAAATTGTCCCACTGGCCGCTACCTCGGCTGTTCGGATCGATGACCCCCAGGAAGGTCACGAGGATGACTTTGGCAAGTACCTCTGTGAGGTCGATATCTATCCTGCGGACACCGTGCTGTTTATATCAGGCTTGCCAACCGGATGGTCGGTGGATACCCTGGAGGCACGTGACTCGATAGGGAATACTCACTTTCGTTTGTAACAGGGAAATCCGAAAACGGTGCGGATGGCTTCTCTTTAGAGAATGCGGTGCATTTTGGAATCGTTGGTGTTGGGATCAAAAGGGCTTCCCATTTCCCACTCTCATCCTTTTTATTGAGTAGGGAAAAGAAAAAGTGGAATGCGGTTAAAGAGAGGATCTTGTTGATCTCACTTCCCTCCTCCCCCCCTTAATACACACACGTAAAAAAAGAAGGAAAGTTGAATTTTCATCTGCTATACGTATGTGAATATTTTTATTTTAACATTTGAGGATCAACTATTCCATTGGTCCGCTTTAAAATTATAAAGCCCCTTGCTTTTTGGATAGAAAAGCAAATAGTATCTTGTCGCTATATGGTTTGATTCCATATTTGGTCTACAAATGTATTGATACCGAAACATATAAGCCCAATAGTCTGCATTGACTCATTACCCTTTGTCAAATTAATATTGTATATGTATATATACATAGTTATAAATAATAATAATGCGATCTGATTTTCCTTATTTGTGTATCGAAATGGTACTAAATGTATGGGAGGAAAAGTTATCAGAGGAAAAAATGTTATAAATAAGAGCAACTTGAGAAACGCTTTGCTCTTCATAGTACGAGCAAATAAAAAAAACATATATATGTTTTTAGATTCGTCAAACATTCCATAGGTAACAGTGTATTCTTCTATAATATGTTTCTGCGTTTCTTGATGAGCATGGTATTAGATTCCTTTTTTTTTTTGTATACGTATTGCATAGTTTATTCTCATTTAATTATTCGCCTTCTTTTCTCTTTCTAATAAATCAAAAATGTATCTAAATTTGATCTATTGAGGCTAAAAAAATACATGTGTTATACAAATAGTTCCCTAATGACCTGTGCTAGTATGCATTAATCATCGTAAATCACTGGAAAAGTCGTTTTTGCTATAAAGAATAGGTAATGTTTTTCATAATGTAGAAATTTTAAACCTGAAAATTAGACTCAAAATGTGAATTCACCACATTCCAAATATTAACGCTTCTCCCCCTCCACACCATAAAATTTTAGTGTTTTATTTTCCTTCATGCTGATAAGTATCAATTAGTAATATTAGGAAGCAATGGATACCGGTAAGGTTCTATTAACATCTTTGTCTCTGGATTCAACCACTGAGGATATACTGGAATTGACTGATGGTGATTTATTTAACTTACTACATGGGGATGATAGGAGAATTTCCCGAACGGCACAAACCACTGAAGAGCTTAGAACCTTACCTTGCAATGATTCAATACCAAGTCCAAAAGGCTTAACAGCATTACCATCGCTGAATAATGTTGATCACTTTGAGAACCTAAACTCCTCTTTGCTTTTTCCTGAGCTGTACACCATTGTGAACGAGTCACCTGTTAGTAATGAAACCAATATGAATCCCAAAAGCACATCTGATACGCACACTGGGTTAAGCGGAATGCTTACTTTTAGTGAAGCAGCAGTGCTTCGAAATGAACGACGGAGCCGAGGCAATTCAGTTCAGGAAGCTTGGCTGCATCAGGGTCTGCATTATCAACGTTGGGATGAGGTTTTCTTGCGCCGTGGTTCTTCATACCGTACCAACTCCATCGCCTCCCGAACGACGTTTGGAATGTCCCACACCAAGAGCTTATGTATTTCCCTCAATATGGATATTAACTTGTTGGATACAACTGATGTCGCGGTGGCTTTCTCAGATGCGGATCCCGTTTTTAGCTATTGTGGGAGGGCACCGGCAGAGACTGGGGTGTGGTCATCGAATGATATGGATAGTGCTGCCAGTCGCATAGTGCCGTTGTTTATGTGGCAATCTCCGCAATCTATACCGAGTGATGTGGAGTCAATACTACCCCAGCTTAGTGAACAACTTAAAGAACAGTATCATACGCTTGCGCCGAGGCCCTTAATGACTATTAGCTGTCTCAATCAGCGAGCGGTAGATCTCGGTCAAGCTCTTGATAAGGCACGCAAAGAAGCCGGTACTTCGAAAGTTATTTTCCATTACTACGCCCGTGGTGTACCAAAGCCACGAAACGGAACCATTTTTCTTATGAATTTTTTATCCAGTGCAAGTTCGTGCCCGCCTCTCAGCAATATGTCATTGGATACACTAAGAGCAAGGGTTGGGTTTCCTCTTGTATTTATCGCGGATTGCGCCAATGCGGGGGTGATCCTCGAGGACTTCATTTTAAAGCGTGAGGAACAAGAGCAACAACACCAATTCTTCTCGCGAGAGCACCAAGTTATGTTGTCTGGAAGTCGTCCAGTGAGTTCGGCCGACTTAGATACTATGGTTGATTGTAGTAAAGCTGCTTCTGTGAGCACCATAAACTATGTAGTACCAAAATTGGGCGGTGCAGGCTCCCCGACGATTCCCAGAGCATCATCTATTTCCACTGTAGCCACCATATTCGAAGATTTTTTTTTCATCGGTGCGTCAGGAAGTGGTAGCAGTCAAGGTGCACTGTCGCAACACAATCGTCTACCATCTGACATTCTCACTAGTTGTCTCACCACACCTTTACGACTTGCCATGACGTGGTTTATGGTAAAACGTCATGACCTGGTAGATGTGCACCCTATTCTGCTCCATGTCTTGCCTGGTTCACTTCAAGATAAAAAAACTCCATTGGGCCAGATGCAGTGGTACTTCCAGTGTGTTACGGAGTGCATTGCCTGGTCCAGTTTCCCGCTGTCTACCTTCTCAAGACTTTTTCGTGAAGACGTATATCTGGCCCCTCTCTTTCGTGGCTATTTGCTTGCAGAGCATGTGATCGTAGGTGGGTTGGGTGGAACTGTGAGTGTGTATCCACCCCTGACTCCTACTCATGACCACCCGATCTGGGACTCCTGGGAAAATTTCTTAGAGAGAGCTTTTGTGGCAGTCCTTAAACTTGTACGTCCGGCACCTCCAACATGTTTAACGACGCTTGAATTTAGAGAGTGGCTTGATGTGCGAGCGACAAGGTGGAAATACACACAGAACAGTGTATCTAAGCAGCTCCATGGTACCACATTGCCTCGGTTGCCAACCTTGGACGAAACTCGCCCTTTGGTTATCCCGGATTTCTTACTGGAAGAGTTTCAAGGTATTGATGCGATAATAGAGCAAGTGACTGGGCAGTCGTTTCGCATACCAATTGTAAGCAAAAAACAATTGCCTTCACAGCCCCCTGAGGTCAAACATTTCATGAATAAATGCAACCCACATGTCTTTCAAGTGGGTCTTAGTCCGGGTGCTGCGTCTGCTATAATGCCTTCAGCTCATAATCCCTTCCGAAGCAGTCCCACAAGGTGTAAACATTCACAGTATGAAAACCAATCATTACGCTATTTAAAACGGAAGCCCTGGCAGAGGGGGGTTGAAGATAACCTGGAGTCAATTGGCTATGCTAACTATAAGAACCGATATGAGCCACAAGGAGCATCGATGCAGCTGTTGTCACCCTTTTCACACCACTTGTCGACCAAAGCGACAGAAAAAAATGACAACAGTAATATTGCTCTCTCAGCGAAGACTTACTCAATTGCCGCCACATCTAAACCTTTTTCAGTTGCCCCTAGGTCCGTGTCTACGATACCCGCGGTCGAGTATGTGGGCAATATGTGGACTTCGTCTTCACTAGCTGATACGTTAGCAAGTAATGTACCGATGCCTTTTCCCTTTATCAAACGAATGCCTATCATTTTGCAGGGCCTACTTGTTATGGCATACCGCGAGAAGGCTACCGCTCTAGTTTGCCGCTTCGTGGACGCAGGCGCCCCGGCCGTACTGCAGTGTTCGGAGGTCAATCTCTACCGTGTTGTTCTCGATCACTATTGGAAACGTCCAGACTTACGTTTCTTGATGCCTACAACACTGTTCATTTATAGCAAAAGCTACTACGTTGATCCAGCTCTTGTAGGTTCACCTGAACAATGCAACACTGTCATCAAGGCATGTGTAGAAATCCTTCGGTGTCCAATTAAGGTGCATGGTGCTACCACTACGGGATCATTAGCAGGGGTAGAGTTCGCGGCAACAACAGGTTTGGAATCGGGTGCTTGGCAGTGGAAGCTGCTAGGTTTTTTTAGCACTCCACGTGGGCAACGTCTGCTAGCTTGCTCCATCTTGGCTATGTTAGCTATTCACAGTGACGACGCTCGCGACGCTTGTCATCGGTTCGGCACCTTTCAACTCGTATACCAACTCTTAGAAGAAGTTTGTCTGCAGGACGACGCTCATGATTCCCTACTACCAGTTCTTCAGCAACAACAGCAAGACCAACAACCCAGTCATACTACGTTTCCCTTGTCAGCAACATGTACTTCCTCGTTATCTCAAATGAAAGGCAGATATGATTCAGCATCCCATAGCTTTGAAAATTTACAAAAAACACAACCTCCCATGACATTGCATAATGTGGATTGGCAAACGGTGACAACGTTGTACCGTATGGCATTCATGGTACTTTTTGTGGCGCTGCTGCATAATTGGTCTCCACCTCTAGATAAAGAGAGAGAAGGACAAACTATTGAGGATAAGACAGAAACGACACAGTATTCTTTGGAAAGTGATGATGAGAAGCAAGGGCCATTGAAACCAACCAACGCATGCAACCTTAAGGAGGGTTTGCAGGTCACACTTGGTGTCTTGGAGCAGACACTTTGCAGCTCCATTCCAGTGCTGCGCGGTATTGCGTTGCGGAGCTTGTCTATGGTAGTCATATCACCCGCCACCGATATTGACATGAAGCGACACTTCGCGGCTTCACTCCTTTCTCATCTTAACAGCCCAAGCAGTTTTTGTTATGAAGGAAACACTGATTTACGACTAGAGATTGTTGGCGTGGCGCTTGTGGTATACAAATTTCTTTTGGAAGAAGCAAGCAAAGATATGTCCAAAGGCGATATTCGATCTTATATCACTCAATGGTTGTATAAATACGACGCGGTACAGATCATGCGCCAGAAAAAAAATGAAAAGGACAACGACGCCGAGTATGTAGATCCTCTGGATTTGATAACGCATTCTCCATCCAAGTATGTTTCTATAGTAGGGTTACACCCTCATGAACACTCTTCTCAACCCTTAGGAGGGTCTAAATCGACTTTTGTATCTAAGTCCCTCCTCTCATTCAGTGGAGTTCCTTTCGAAAGACAAAATCCACAGTGGGTCCATAATCCTCATACTTACAATAATCACGATTTTAGGGTTAATATTGCACCCTCATCCAGTTCTATTGACGATTCCTTGCGTGTCTCTGACTTTCTCTTCACAAAACCTGGGTCCTCTGTGCTGGAGTCACAGGTGCTCTTTCCTCTTAGCAATCTTGTGCTGTTTGTTGTAAGGCTTACACAAGATCCCTGTCCGTACGTTGCTGCTCATGCATGCAAAGTTGTCCTAGAAGAGATGGCGTTTCTTCTAGAAGATGCTGCCACCTCACCCTGCGACATCGATACAGTTGTTGAGTCGACTATTTTTTCACATTCTGTGGATACATGCGAAGGGCCTGGTGGTACGTATCGTGGTCCGAGTAGCCGGAGTCGAAATGTTGCACAAAAGAAGCGGCATAGCTTTGGCCATCTGTATCGCCAGGAAAATCCTTACACCAACAGTGGGGTAGCTAGCATGAATTATCTAGAGAACGATATAAGCGACAATATCTCTACTGATAAACCACAAAGACATAACACTGCTAAGCTTTTTTATAAGTCATTGGAAAGGGTAAAAAGAATGCGCAACCACATTCGTCATACAGGCGGTGCTGGCGGTTGCAAAGCAGAGGATGACGAAAATGTAACCCATTACAGTGATGATTCTAATGACGAAGATGATAGGCTCAAGCCCCGTCCTTCTTTATCAAAATACTCAGCTTTCAGAGACCGTTTCCAGGACAACAGCGTCGAAGTCAATATAAGCAAGAATAGCAGTGCAATATACAGTGCCTTGCTTCCAGAAAATATCATCCTACGAGCACTCTCTGCACAGGACAGTACCACTGTGTCAATGTTTGTGCACACCTCGCTTGGATATCTCGGTGATTTGCTGTTAATAAAGCCAGATGACTATGACCCACGCAATCCATTCAGTCAACAGAAAGAGTTAGATCTGCACGCCTATATGCTAGTGCTAGCAAGGGAAATCGGCGATGATCTGTTGCAACCCGCGAACGGGCCCCGAAATGCCACGCCAAAACATTGCACCGATGAAGTGCAAGCAAAGGAAAGACATGCATTAACGAACATAGAGTTGTCTGAAACCGCCTCTTTCTTGGGTCGTACTAAAAATATCTGTACCACGGAAGAGGCGACATCTGAGGGTTCATTACAGATGAAACTACTTGGTGTAAATACACCATTGAAGGCAACATCGGAAATAGGGTGTATCCAACGCTTCCTTTTCCACCCGACCAGTCCGCATTTCATTGCCTCAACCGATTGCGGGGTGATTCAATGCTGGGATTATTCAGAGGGGCTGACAGTAGCTACCAGCGAAGATTTCAATACATCCAATCAACCAACTGTGAATTTTTTAAGGATGACAGCATGCTTCAAAACGGATGCAATTTTAGCACGGTCCCAGTCTGTCTTACCAAGTGTGGCGCCACTACATAATTTCAGCAGTGCTCCATGGGGTTACCCCATAAACTCCGATGAGCTAAGAGTAGGGGATGAGACTGCTGTAAACAATTTTGGATTTTCCCTCAGCAACGGTTCCTCACTACCACATGCAAAGTCATGCGCCGATCCTATCGATGGAATTCATTTTGTGGATGTTGCGTATCGGCCGTTGTTGTGTGCAGTGCATCGCACCGGTGTTGTGGAGCTGTTTTCAAACTACATGAAGAATGGGACTACACAGCGCGTATCTACCTTCTGTACCTCACTTCCTCATTCCGGTTCTGACTTTACTAATTCGTCTTTTCCTACTTCAGTTACTCCCTCTGCTGTTTCTCCATATCATGGTTGCTTGTCTAGCTACCAAGACCAATCTAAGTTGCTATACTTATGTGATTCAGCTGATGAAGACCCGACTGTGATGTCATGGGATCTAGGCTGTGAGCGAATGACTCTGAGGGGCTACGGGCGTGGAGAATATCTTCATGGACCACCTTCTGTCCTTGCCTCTCATCCGTACGATGGATCATTGTTTGCCGTAGGAGCCGCATCATCGATTTTCTTGTATGATCGACGTCGGTCTGGGCTTAAAGCGGCTGAGCAGTTTGATTTTTCAGCTTCACCAATAGGGTCCCAAACAAACAACTCTTGGCGATGCTCACATTCGCACTTTTCCTGTCGCTTCGCCAATCTCCTAGTGTCTGGGTTCCATCTGCAACAAAGGCACAGCGTTCCGGAAAAAGTGACATCTTCTTTTTCGTCGGATCCACATTCCAGTTGCGTAGCATTAGTGCTCTGGGATGATCGCTGCAGTAAACATCCTCTTAATGTTTACTTTCATAAACCTCACACAACGTTCACAGGTGTCTCTCACATTGGTGAAAACAACCACAGGTTCTCCGATCCCAATATAACTTTAACTTCAAGTATTATTGATGTACAGCCGTTTAACAGACGCCTACGCTCCATCATTGTGGATGAGGATGGTGTGACGCTGGACGAATGGGGTTTATTCGTGGGCCCTACACGGTCACAGCGATTCAATAGATTAGACCACGCACTTAGTGCAGCTAAGATTCACCCGTTTCTTCCTCTTATTGCTTTGGGATCTGGAAGTCAAGTGATGCTACTTGGTGATAATA